AGGCAAATCTTTGTGAGTTCAAGGCCATCCTGGGCTACATGATATTGACCCAGTCTAAAAGAAAAACAGAGACAGGTGATGATGGCTCACACCTTTAGTCCCAGCAATAGGGAGGTGCAGACAAGAGTGATGTGGCTGGGTGGAGAGAGGAATCTAAGGTGGGAGGAGACAGGAGCTCCTTGCATTCAGTCTGAGGAATTGTAGGGACAGGATTGCCCCTTTGGTCTGAGGATTCAGTAGAGGAAAGAAGTCTCTCTTGTGACTGCCTCCTTTACTTCTCTGACCTTTCAGCATTTACCCTGATATCTGACTCTGGAATTTTATTATTAAGACCTATTAAAACTCATGGTAGTTACTAAAAATCATGTATATAAATGTGACATGAAAGTAAAAAAAAACATTGCCTAGGGGAACAAAGGGACTAAGGCAGGGAAGGTACAGATGGTATGGGAGGAAGTTGTTCAAAATATATTATATTGTTGTATAAAGTGATTCTTTTATGATTCAGTACTATACACAACAAATATACCTCAGTGCAAATTAACCAATTAGGTTTAAAATGTCTATATGAATAAAATATCAAAATCAAATTAAAATGAAAAAAAAAGTCACCCTACCACAGCCAGGGTCTGTGTTGATGTCAGTGGCTCCGGTTGCCATCCGGGGCCATGTTGATTCCAGGGGCCACACTGCCACTGGGGCTGTGCCAATTTGGGTGTCCTTCTCTGCCACCTGGGGTTATGGTGACATCCAAACCTGCCAACAACAACGTCTGGGCCCAAGGTCCTACTGCAATCAGGGTCTGTGTTGAAGGCTGGTGGCCCATGTTGCCATCGAAAATCACATGAAAGCCTGGGATCTGGGCTACAACCTGTGGCCACATTGGTGTCCAGGGGCCATATTGTTTATAGAGCCATCCTGATCTGAGTGGCCAGTTCTTTCACCTAGAGCCAGGATATTGACTAGGACAAGCTACTGCCTAGAGCCATGTCTGGGTCCATGATCCTGGTGAAGCTGGGGTCTGTGTTGATGTTTGTGGCCCATATCACCTCATGGGGACATAGGAACCATGTGTATGAAATAGGAGGTCCGTCCTGAACTAGCCCTGCTCTTTGCTGACCCTGCCTCTCGATAGTCACTGCAGCAAGAAAGCTGGCTCCTGTTCAGGAGAGACGACCCCACCCCTCACCACAGGCAAAGGAGAACTGACAGTGAGGACATGGGCACAGGGGAGCTGGCTCTGCCTCCTCCTCGCCTGAGGCAGGTAGTCCTAGTGGCCCAGAATGGCCAGCCTACCACCCAGGCCCTCCGCCAAGCTTTGGGTTGGCCCACCTGTAACTAGATGTTTCTCTCCCATCCTCCTGTTCCTAAATAACCACTCAGAGACTTAATATTAATTACAAATTACAAACTGTTGGCTAATTAGCTGAGGGTTATTATTAACTAGATCTTACAACTAAATTAAACCATTTCTATTAATTTATATTTTACCACGAGGCTTGTGGCTTGTTACCTCACATCTTGCTTCTGATGTCTCCCTGACTCCACCCTTCTCCCTGTGTCTCTGTGTGGACTTCCCACCTGGCTCTATTCTGCCTGGCTATTGGCCAAATCAGCATTTTTATTAACAAGTACTAAAACATATTCACCACATACACAAAGACATCCACATTACCCACCCCAATTAGGAACTGCTGGAGCTCATGAAGGGGACTGGCCCTGTGGAACAATACCAGCAGGATCTCCAGGCCTGGGGGTGGCCATGGGATATCCCAGAGAAGTTCCTGTGAGGATCCAGTGAGAATGGTGTACCAGAAACCAGAGGCCTTTAACCACACCAGTGACTCACTGCAATGAACATTTGCTAATAAAGCTGACTGTACAAAATGTGTCTGATATGTGACATGGCTCTCAATGCCACCAGAATGAGTGAAGAAGTGTTGGTGAGGCGGGAGAGGAAGAGGGTTTGGGGGTGGCATTATTTGCTTGCTTTGTTTTAGTTTGGTTTTTTTTTTTTTATTTCCTTTTGTGGGGGAACTTCAGGGATCAGGGGAGGATATGGGTTGACTAGGAGGTGATCAGAATTAGGTTACATGATGTGAAATTCCCAAAGAATCAATAAAGAAATTATGTTACATAATAAAGGAAAAAAGTCAATATCTCAAATAAAAAAGAAACTGGGATCAATATGTAAAATAAGAAAAAATAAATAAATAAAATGTCAACCCCCCCCCCCCAAAAAAGCCAAGGATAAATGGAGAAATTTCATGAACTGGTTCTTCTATTGTGATGTTAACTTTCTTGAATGTAAAAGCTGCATTTTGGTTACTTAAAATAGCACCTTATTAGTTGTGCGGCTGGCTCAGTGGGTTTGATGCTCACCACATAACCATAGGAACCTGAGTTTAGATCTTCAGCACCCATCTAAAAAGTAAGGCATGTTGTCACATATGCATAATCTCAGTACCAGAGGGATGGAGAATCCCAAGGGCTCTCAGATCATTCCTTTTAGTTGAATTGGTAAGCTCCAGGTTCAGGTGAGAAACCCTGTCTCAGTGGAGCCAGGATGTATCCCTGGTGCACAAAAGGACTTTGCAAACATATCCCCCATGGAGGGATAACTGCCTTATTCTAGAGATAGGAGAGAAGCCCTAGTCCCTACTTCACAGGACCTGTCAGATCTACATGACCCCAACTGGATGGCATTCCCCTACATATGGTATTGTGGTGGGGGGTTGGGAGGGGAGGGTGTTTAGAGTGCATGGGAGAGGGTAGAGAGGGCAAAAGGGAGGGAAGGAGGGAGGGAGGGCTGGAAGGGAGGAAGGGAGGGAGGGAGAGGGAACTGGGATCGACATGTAAAATAATAAATTAAAAAAAAAAATGCTTTGACTCCAAAATTTAAGTTGAAGAACAAGTTACTGGGGAAAGGTATTTCTATTTTTGTTTCCACAGAAAATGAAAAGATGTGGATTCCTTCCAGACTAATGTGGTTTGATCACACCAGACCACCTGAAACAGAGTACAAGCTGATCCTACATTCCAAACAGCTGGACAAAACAGCGCTACAGACTACAGCTAGGATATCTGAATCTTCTTTGAATCCCCCAAGACAGCGCCCCTTACCAGCAGGAAATAGTTTGGAAAGAACGACGCCCAAATTCCCAAATATTGTGTATAAATGTTTGTTTTCATTTAATTGGACTTTGTTATATAAAATTAAATAAAAAAATACTCTATATTCATAAAAAAAAGAGAAACCCTGTCTCAAATAAATAAATAAATAAATAGGATATAAATCAATAAGGAAGACACCCAATGTCAATCTCTGGCCTCTATAAGTGCACACATGCACCTAAACACATGTGCACACACACATCATAAATACATTCACAATAAAGTAATATATTATTAGACGTGTTTAGGACATTGTTCTAGTTTGGTTTCCAATGCTGTGATAAATGTCATTACCAAAAGCAACTGGAGAAAGAAAGGATTTATTTCACCTTCCAGGTTACAGTCCATGATCAAAGGAAGCCAAGGCAGGAAATAAAGGCAAGGGAGCTTGAAGTAGAAATGGTGGAGGAACACTGCTTACTGGCTTGCTCCTTGGCTCACCTTCAGCTACCTTTCCTGTACATGCCAAACCCACCTGCCTAGGAATGGTATCACACACAATGGGCTGGGCATGCCTACATCAGGTAGCAATAAAAAAAAAATGCACCCTCAGACATGCCTACTGGCCAATCTGATGGAGGTAGTTGTTCAATTAAGACTCCCTTTCTAAAGCATATCAGCTTGATAACCAAGAGGAGCCATCACAGATATCTAGGGTGTTTAGGAAGATACATAATACTACTTTTTTATTTATTATCAAATGGTTAAGAAAACGAAGGGCAGGGCAGTGATGGCACACACCTTTGATCCCAGCACTTGGGAGGCAGAGAGGAGGATCTCTGTGAGTTCAAGACCAACCTGCCCTATAAGAGCTAGTTCCAGGACAGCCTGCCTCCAAAATCAGAGAGAAACCCTGTCTCAAAAAAACAAAAAAATAAGGAAAAATAAAAGAAAGAAAAGAAAAAGAGGAAGGAAGGAAGAAAGGAAAAGAGTTGAGAGAGCAGAAAATGTTAGTGAACCTATGTAAAGGATATAAAGTGACCCTTGTACTATCTCTTCACTTTTCTGTAGGTTGAATTTTTTCAAAATAAAAGATTAAGAATAAAAATCAGGAAGTGCATAAAGGCAGAAACAGTAAAGTTAAATACAAGTCAGCTCTTCCCATGCATCCTCTATTGGCTTTGAAGCCACTGAGGCTCACCCTGGTTCACCTTTAAGTGCCAAAGGATGCATGCCTACATCTCTCCAACCCTGCATCTCAAGTATCCTGGCAAGTGCCTAGAAAATATATTTCAAAGGGCACTCTGACTCCAAGGGAGCAAGAGCCAAGTCATCTGTGGAAACAGATGCATGAGAATGGTGGTCCTCAGAGCCACCATGAGGATTTTGTGCTGCTGGACAGACTAGACATGAATCAGACAGACTGGAACTGCATCGCAGTTTCCTGGCTTCTGCTTTTTTGAGCAGGCCTAGGCAAAGCCTATAGGGATTATTTGTTGTCTGTTCCTTCGCCTGTCGTTAGCCCTGGAGGTCTATAAACCCCAACAGTCTGAAAAGAGCAGTTGGCCAGAGGGGCCAATTCTAAGCAAGGTCATCTCTCTCCTTCTCTTCCACCAGCCCCAGCAAGAAAAAGCAGGAGAAAAATTGGAAAGTGTGAACCCCAACTCCAAAGTCTAGCCTGCCTTTTGTTCAACCAGGACATGGGCTGCCAAAGCAGAGCCCTCCCCATTGGAAATCCTCTGAAAGTTCAAAGAAAAGATGCAGCAGCCTGGACCCTGGACACGCCCTCATTAGTCTCAGTTCCCACCAAAGCCTGCGGTTTTTCCTGTGCCTTGTCCGTTATTTCACAAGCTATTTCTTGCTTGAAGCTTCAGGGGAGAGGTCTTTATCTTCTCCCAGAAGCCACACAGCTAGCTACAGTCCCGCCTGGCCAGCACCATGGCTAAGACCCCTGGTGACCATCTGCTAAACACCCTGGAGGAGCTGCTGCCCTATGACTTTGAGAAGTTCAAGTTCAAGCTGCAGAATACTAGCCTGGAGAAGGGTCACTCCCGGATCCCCCGGGGCCATCTGCAGATGGCCAGGCCAGTAAAGCTGGCCAACCTGCTGCTCACCTACTATGGCGAAAAGTATGCTGTAAGGCTGACCCTGCAGATCCTGAGGGCCACAAACCAGCGCCTACTAGCAGAGGAGCTTCGCAAGGCCACAGGCCCAGGTAAGTGGCCAAGTCCCTTCCCAGCTGAGATGGCTGCTGGCTGCTGGTTGCTTGTGGAGGTGGAAAGCAATGCTCTCTAGCTTGATGGCTGGGAAGCCCCTGTCAACTGCAATGTAAATCCAACACATCTTGTCCTTCTCTGGCCTTTGTAGCTTGCTCACTAAAACTCCCCAGGCACCTGAAGACTTAAAAAAATAAAAACTGATATTCTGACTGTGGGTCAGAATCAGGGCAGGCAGAGCTTGAACACCCCTCCCTAGAGAATTCTTTACTCCATTGTTCAGTTAATACACATGCCCAGACAAATGTTAGGTTAGCAGAAAGGGCTGGAAATCTTCATTAACCACTCAATTTCAGTTTAGGATTCTTCTTTAGCATACTTTACAAACATACCTAAATATTCTTTACTTTTAATGAAAAGTTCTTCAAATTAAAACATGGGTTGTTAATTACAGATTATCTTTATTACGTAGACTTTGGAACTGCGCCTTTTCTGTCATTTTGAACAGCAATATTCTGAAATTGCAGGCAAGTTTGCTGGTTTTGGTTATTTTTGGGGGGTTGGCTTTTAGATAGGGCCTCACTAAATAGACCAGGCTGGCCTCAAACTCACAAACTCACCTGCCTCTGTGTCCAGAATGCTGAGATTAAAGGTGTACACCATCATACCCATCCAAACTTGTTTTCAAATGCCTTCTATACTTACCTTTGTGACCTGAGATTTCCTTCAGCTTGTGTAATGAATGAAAAAGATTCATTTATAAGTCTCAAGTTTAATTAATTTTATGTGTGTGGGTCTTTTGTCTGCAAGTATGTATGAGTACCACTAGCATGCTGGTTCCACAAAGGCCAAAAGAGGCATAATATTCCCCAGAATTGGAATTACTGATGATTGTGAGCCACCCTGTAGACACTGGGAAATGAATCTGGGTGCTCTAGAAGAGCCCCCAGTGCTCTTAACTACCGAGCCATTTCTCTCTCTCTCTCTCTCTCTCTCTCTGGCTTCCTAAATTAAATTAATTTTTATTTTAATTATATTTTTATATGTATTTGCATCTGTCTGCATATATAAGTGAGTGTCAGCATGCCATGGCACACATAGAAAGCTCAGAGGACAACCTGAAGGAATTGCTTCTCTCCATCTCCTTGTGGGTTCTGGAGGTCAAACTCAGGGTATTGAACTTGGTCACAACTGCCTTTACTCACTGAGTTGGTGTGCTTTAATTCTTTTTTGTTGCTTTGTTTTATAAATCAATTTTTACATCTATAATCATGCATCCATCCATCAATATTCCAGTTTCTATTTAATTTATATTTTATGGTTCTGTGTAACTGAGGTGCTGTTGTCTAGAATGTTCTGTGCTTTTCCGTTTAGTAACTTTGAGGAGATTGTCTCTTCCTTCCTCCAGCCTCAGCCTTGAATGTAGGACAGCTTCATGCTTCCATCTGATTGTCTTTCTAGAACATTTAACGGAAGAAAATAGAATTGGTGGTTCTGTCCAGCCTGGAGAGAATAAGCCCAAGACTGTAAAAGTAGCAGATGTCCTGGAAGGTGATGGGACAAAGCAGAGTGGTGATGGATCAGGCAGCCTGCCACCCAGCCAGTCTGAAGTGGACAAGGGGTCCCAGAAGAAGTCTCTTGTCAAGAGGAGAGATCAGAGGGGCCCTGAGAGCCTGGACTCACAGGCCAAGCCATGGGCCAGGAACACAGCATCGCCCAATAGAAGAATCCTGGTCATTACCCAGTGCCCAGTGGACAAGGAGGGCAGGGCAAGTGCCCAGCTCCGAAGGAATGCCAGCTCTGCGGGGAGGCTGCAGGGATTCTGCAACAATGCCCCAGGGAGAAGAGAATGCAAGAAAGCTGAAGCATATTTGCCTTCAGGAAAGAAGCGACCCAAAAGTCTTGAAATTACCACTTACTCAAGTGAAGGAGAATCCCCAAATTCAGCTCTTCTGAGTCCAGAAAAAACAACTAATGGGAATCCACACTCATCCCCTACTCCCATGACAGTAGCTATTGTGAATGAGGGCACTGCTGGAGCTCTAGAAAGGGGCTCAAGGAATCCAGAACTTTCCATGGCCCCCAACGAAGAAACATCTAGGGACATGCCTTCTAAAACATCGTTGATTGGAGAGGGCAAACACACTACATCCTGGAAGGAAAATGAAACTGGGAGATCAGAAGCCCCTGAGAGCTTGGGGAAGATGACTGGTAGCACATTCTATGAGTCCTGCAATCCAGAAGAGCCTTTGTCACTATGTGAAAAATCAGCCAAAACTCCAGAAGACCCAGCATTCTTAGGATCGACAGCTTACAAAGGTAACCTCCCCCACCTCTCCAGAACTTCATTTTGTTCTTATATTTATATTGCTGGGATACCTGGTTGCCTCTACAGATCCCTGTGCAAATGTGATGTAGACCTAGAAAAATGCATGTTTACACATCTTGCACAAAGGGTTACATCAAATTTCAGTCTATGCCTGAGCTCTAAGAGCCACAGATTAGGTTAAGGATCTAAAAAGAATGGGCAAAAAAATATTCCTTTCCCACAGTGATTCCACAGTGAAAGTCTTGGGGCAGAGATTCTGCTAATCACCTTTCTCTGGACAGGAGGGAAGATGTTGACCAAACCCCTTACTGGGAAATTAATCACCAGGATTATATTTGCCTGTGAGAAATAGAAAACACCAGCTTAGATGAACAATACAGAAGCTTGTTCCTCTTTCACACAAATGAGTCATTTGTGTGATCACAATTAAACTTATGCTGGGCTGTTTTTTTGCTTCACATTTTTCCCCTGAAACTTATAACTCACAGGTGATAACATGGCTTCACTCAAGAGTATGGGGACAGAGGGACAGCATGGAAGGTTTTTAAAGGTTTCTAGAAACCTTTAAAGGTTTGGTCTCACTTCCTTTTGACAAGAATGTGATCAAATGGCTTCCGCTAACTGCATGGGAGGCTGCGAATTTCAGTTTGGAGTGAGGTGGAAGAGGAAACAATTGATTCTGTCAGGAGAATGGTTCCTTGTGGATGATGACTTTTGGTTGTGAGGCAAATTCCGGGGCCAGGGAGGGAGGAGGAATAAAGAGCTAATGGATTGTATGTGTTTCTATTTCTTCTTGTGTCTCCTGTCATTTCTGTTGTATAGGGGCCTTGTAGCAGAACTTTCATAACTCTTATGTATCACTGAGAGAGTCACCCTTTAGCTTTATAGAGTGTCCTTCTTTGCTTTTACTTCTTGAATGGGAACACAAGATTCACCCAACACACACGTTTCAAATGCTTGCTATGCACTCTGGCCTAATTTTCTGCTGGGAGTGAGGGCCTGACCATGACTGAGGCTCACAGTGGCTACCCCCAGCAGCTGTTTTTTGGGTTGTGGGTAATCTGTGGTGGTTTGGGATAGGAAAGCAAATGCTGTCAGCATGTTTGCTTTCTTTCAAATGAGCCACTAGATCTGCATCTGTGCAAGGGGAAAGCCTAGGTTTATAGCAAAGATGTCTCACAGAATCAATGCCCAAGAATTCCAGGGCTCAGAAAAGTCTCACCCTCAGCTATCAGCCTCAGTTGCCTGTTTTGGATGGAAGTCAGAGAAGAGCATGCTGGGAAGTGGCCATCTCTAATTGACAATGTATGTGTTCTATGAATAATTACTCTCTTATAACTATCTTGGGTTTGCCACTGAATTTTTTCTACTGCTATGTCTCCAGGAAGGTCACAAGACAAGGCTGCATGTCCTCTTTGCCACACCCAGGAAGGAGACCTGCATGGTGGTACCTGTATGCAAAGTTCCTGCAGCTGTTCCATTGCTCCTGGGGATCTCAAGGCCCCAGGCAGAAGCTTACCCATATGCTTCCAGTGCCAAAGTTCACTTGCAGGAAAGAGCTGTGGAGACCAGAGCCCCCAGTCCCTACCACAGTGCCCACGTCACATGAAGCAGGTACAGCTGCTCTTTTGTGAGGACCACAGGGAGCCCATATGCCTCATCTGCAGGCTGAGTCAGGAGCATCAAGGCCATCGAGTGCGTCCCATAGAAGAGGCTGCACTGGAGTATAAGGTAGGTATTCACCCACACATAGCTGGACACTCAGGCTTATGTTCTTTATTCAACCCCTCTGGGGTGTGGGTGCATCAGTCAGGATTCCTGGGCTCTAAATGGTAAAAATACAAGACTAACCAGGACAGCAAAGAAGGAAGTGCTCATTTACATTGTTCAGAAGTCCAAGGATACTGGTTTCAGTATGAATCCTGGGTCACCCTGTGGGGATGGACCATTGGTGATGGATCCACATCATTTCTTTCCTCTTGCTTTCAATTGCAGCACCCCAGCTCTGCTTCCAGAAGCCAATTCTTCACTCTAGGATTAGTATAAGCTAAAAATGGCAGGCATCAAATATAAGCATCTAAACCAATACTCTTTTCCAGGAACAAATCCAGAAGCAGCTGGAGCGTCTGAGGGAGCTGAGGGGATGTGTGGAGGAACACAGACTGCAGGGAGATAAGAAGACAGAGAACTTCCTGGTAAGGCCCTGGGCCAGTCCTTACCCCTTTATACCTGCAGGAAAGGAGTGGGAATGCAGAAAGTGTCCGGGGCTCTGCCCTGACTCACAGGCCAGCAGGGCTGGTCACCTGTTCTCCAGTCTCAGTGGTGATGATAGGGAGGTCTAAGGTAAGCTCATCCTGTGGTTCCCTGTCAGGAGAGAGGGACACCTGCTCTCTTTCTCCTTCTCACAACTAAATAGTTTAGAGAAACTAGAAACTGACACTTCACAAATTCTCTGTATTCTGTAAATAGTTACAGTTGGAGCTGAAGATGTAGCTAAGTTGGTAGAGTAGAAGCACAGAATCAATGAGGCCCCAGGTTCCATCCCCAGAATGGTAAAAACTGGATGTGGTGGCACACAGGGATAACCTCAGCATTTGGAAGGTAGAGGCCAGAGGAGAAATTCAAGTTTATTATTAACATAGCAAGTCCAAAACCAGCCTGTTAGGCTCCCACACATACCAAAAAAATCTGGTAATGTTGGCACACACTTGTAATCCTAGCACTCAGAAGAAAAATGCAAGAAAACTGCCATGAGTATGAGGCCAACCTGGTCTACATAACAAGTTCTAGGCCAGCCAGGGCTACATAGTGACACCCTGTCTTAAAATAATAGTAACAGTAATTTTTATTTATAAATTTTATGAAAACTATATTGACTTCTGTGTTTTTTTCCTCCAGTTCTAGGGACAGGACCTAGGGCTTTGTATTTTCTAGGAAGGGATTTTATCCTTGAATGAATCCACAGCCCCTCCCTGACACCACTTTGGCTTTTTGAGACTAAACCTCATTACACACTCCTGAATTGATGTCAACCTACTAGAATGAGCTCTTTGAGGGGGGGTGTTGTGAAAGGGTTTCTCTGGGTACCCCTGACTGCCCCAGAACTATCTCTATAGACCAGGCTGACCTGGAACTCAAGAGATCCACCTGCCTCTGCCTCCTGAGTGCTGGAATAAAAGGCATGCACCATGCAGTCCTGCAGAATGACCTCACCTTAACTAAATACATCTACAAGTGTCCTACCTGCAGACAGGATCACATTCTAAAGAACCAGGTCATCAACATGGAACCTAGCACCATATTCAACAGATTTTCCCAAGAGCTGGCCCCTCTTGTGCTCAGTCTGTTTAGAAAGTTTCATACAGATTGCTCCCCATTCTGGAGCCCAGGTCTTCAAGAGACTCAGAATCTTAGTTGCATCTAAATTGCTGTGAAGATGGGGGTTGGAGAGATGGCTCCACAGTTAAGAGTATTTGTTGCTCTTGCAAAGGACCAAATTCAATTCACAATAAACACTTACATGGTGGTTTATAGCCATCCTTAATTCCAGGGAATCTGAAGCCCTCTTTTGACTTCTGAGGGCACCAGCAAGTACAAGTACATGCTTTCCAGGCAAAACATGTTAACATAAAAATAAAAATATTTGTAATGAAGAGACACCATGACCAAGGCAACTTATGAAAGAAAGCATTTAGCTGGGGACTCACAGTTCTAGAGGTCCATGGCCACCATGGCCAGGAGCATGGCAGCAGGCAAGCAGGCATGTTGCTGAAGCATTGTTAAGAGCTTACATCTTGGTCCACAAACATTAGGCCAAGAAAGTGCAAAACTAACTGGGAATGGTGTGGGTTTTTAAAACTTCAAAGCTCAATTTCAGTGACATACCTGTCCTAAGACCACATCTCCTAATCATTCCCAAACAGTTCCACCAACTACGGACTAAACATTTAAATATATGAGACTATGGGGGCCATTCTCATTCCAACTTCACCCCCAAGGAAGCCTGCTTCTCATCTGTCTGTGAGATGTGATGACGAGGTATCCCTAGATATATACTTCCACACCCATACATCTCCTGATTCTATGTTCCCCAGAAAGAAACAGAAACCCAGCAGCAGAAGGTTTCGTGTCAGCTTGAGAAACTGCACCAATTCCTGGAGCAGCAAGAGAAACTCTTTGTGACCTGGCTACAGGAGCTAGGCCAGACCATTGGCAAGGTCCGAGAGACATATGACACCAGAGTGTCCCGTGACATTGCCCTCCTGGATGAACTGATCCGAGAACTGGAAGCCAAGCAAGACCAGCCAGAATGGAAGCTCATGCAGGTGAATGTCGGTGCGCCTGACCTTCCCCTACCTGCTGTGTCCAGTGGAATAATTCAGGATCTTGTCACTGCCCAAGGCAGGAAACAAGGCCATTGAGACCTGGAATGGGGCTTGGAATCAAAGATCCACAGTGTCTTTTGGGCTCATGCCTCTTCAATAAGGTCTCTTAGAAGCCCAGAACATTTCGGCATCTAGGATGCCCCTGACATCACCCAGAATAGATCAGAAGAACCACAGTGCAGTTGAACTGTGGGTTCTGGCAAGGCCTCTAGCCTTGTGATTAGAAGTAGAATGTTTTTATTTACTGGTACCATAGCACTGGGGGTCCTTGAAAGGTCAGAGGGCAGTTTGAAGCCTGGGAGTCACAGACTCTTGGAGACTGGTAATAGAGAGATTCCCTCTTTTCTCTCCTAGGACATTGGAGTCACGTTGCACAGGTACAGAGATATCCCATGGTGTCCCTTTGAGTATCTTGCAGGAAGTATTTGGATGGGACTGTCCTAGGAGACATGGGTCCTGAGACCATCCTTCCTGGATTTGTGTGAAGAAAAGAACAAAATGGGAGTCTGGCCAGGTGTGGGGGGGAGAGGGAAGGCATGAATGGAACACTGAGAAGAATGGATATATCCCAGTCCTGCTGCACACAAATGGTGCATTGTGTCCTCTCAAATGGCCTGCATTCCATGCCACTTGTTTTATGACAGTGGTCTCTGAAAAACTGCCTCTGGTCTCAAGCACTTTTGTGGGCTTCTTGGGGATCCATTGGAAGTGGGCTAAGCCCAGCAGGCAGGGGGAAGAGACAGGTGAGATAGAAAAGGCAATATCTCATAGTTATTTGGGTACTTTACAAAATGCTGGTGTCTAAGCCACAGCCACATCAGTTAAATCTCAATTTGGGGGTTGGGACTTGAGCATTAGCGGGGTTTTTTAAAAATTGTTTTTCCAGTAAAATATGCATAACATAAAACTTCAGCTATTGTATATCTGCAGTGTAATGATGTTAATACATTCACATTAGTGTAAACCTGATTATCACCTCCACCTCCAGAACCTTTCCATTTTCCCACATAGGAACTCTGTACCATTCAACAAATACTCATTCCTCATCCTCCCTCCCCTATTGCCTGGCAACCACCATTCTGTTCTTCCTGTTTATTAGTCTGGTTGTTCTAAATACTGCATATTAGCATAACCATACAAAGTTTGTCCTTTAGCCTTTGGTTTACTTTCTTTCAGTATAATGTTCCCACAGTTCATGTTATAACATGTATCAGAATTCCACTCATTTTAATTGCCAAGTGACACTCCTTTCTTATCTAGCCACTTGACAGACATTTGGACTGTTTCTACCTTTGGGTTATTGGGAATGGTACTGATATGACCACTAATAAACAAGCACAACTTGAGACACTGCTTTCAACTTCTCAGATTTTACACTTACAAATGGTATCAGTGTACATCCATCTATTTGAAAAATTTAAGGAATCTGCATTCTATTTCCCACTCACAGTGCCAAATTCTCCACATCCTTGTCATCAACTTGTAATTTCCTGTTATTTACTGCTGTTATAAATGCTATTCTAATAGGTGTGAAGTGACATTACATTTTTTTATTTTTTCTTTCCATAGAAATAGTAGAGAAGTATAACTAATTTGACATAAAGAAATCTGACAGCAAGAGTAACTCAATTTTAAGGCTGCTATTGAAAGTCACTGTGATTTTTATAAGTGGTTCAGAGATGCTATCTGCAACTGAAGTTAAAGACCGGTGTCACAACTCTGGGTCTAGGGAAGATTTCTTTGTGTCGCCCAAACTAGGATGGGTATGTTTAGTGGGGATGATCTCACTGTCACCTCAGGCGGACTCAGGCTACATCTTGCTCTTGTTTTCTCTGGACAACAAACCCTTGTCTCTAGGGCCAAGATGGTGACTGTCTCTGAGCCATCAGCCACTCCTCCAGATGTTAAAGAAAAGATCCACCTGCTCTACCAGAAATCAAAGTTTGTGGAGAGGAGTATGCAGTACTTCTCAGGTGAGTGAGCTTGGAGGAAGATGAGAGAAGCATTTGCTCACTTCCTCCCTGGGATCCATGCAGCCCAGAGCTTGATCATTCACTTCCCATCTACCAAGCCTTTATGACCCTGCCTCTAGCTTCTTTCTGGTCTAACCCAATCTGCTAACTCAGCTTTTCTGTTCCCTTTCCTCCTTTTCAGAAACCCTGCGCTCTGAAATGGAGACATTCAGTGATGCAGATGTAACAAAATGGACAGAGTGCTGGCCTGACATACCACAGGCCCAGGGTTTGATTCCCAAAACTTACCAAAAATGGGATGGTGGAAACACACAGGACTATGACATATTATTTTATCCAGAAGTGGAAGCTGGAGGATCTGAGCCTCAGGAAGCTCAAGGCACACATGAGCTACAAGAGTCCCTTTCTCAGAACAACAAACGAAAACTTAGATCTCTCCTGAAATGGAAACCTTCATTTGTAAGTATGGTGGTGGAAATATAAGCTAACCAAGAGTTTCTGTAATTGTCCTTTATCTGTTGCTTTGGGGGAACTATTCAGAAGAGGGAGGAAATGCCTAGAAAGAGGTCATAAAAGGCCCCCACAGCTCTGCTTGGTCCTGTGTCTGCCTTGTTCATTGATTTAACCTTTTGAGTCTCTAGAGTGCCTGGGAGGCCTTTGTTAAAACTAACAAGATGCAGAGCCCTAAGCAGGAGAATCCTATTCCTTTTGAGATAGTACAATTCAGATTCCCTGAACAGGTATGCTTAGAACTTTCTTTATTTTCTCCCTCTGTAGTTCCAGAACTGACTGGTGCTCAGGAATGTGCTGGTAAGTGCCTAGATCAAGGCAAGTAGTAGCTTTGGTATATCGGGTCCCTGTATGTTCCTGTCCCCTACCACAACCTCAGTGAAATCCCTCTTCCTTAGATGGGGTGAACCTTGGGAGAAGGCCATGGATCCCCTCCCCAGATAGGTGTTCTATTCTTCCTGCAGTTTCTGGGATTCTGATCTATCAGCTGCTCAGCCCAAACTCAACTTCTCTGACATGAAGAGTGTGAGATCTGGAAACAAGTCATACCTGCTGCCTGACAGTACCCAAGGATTCTAAAGTCACTTCATCACTCTGGATACTCCTAGCTTTGACTCCAGCTGGCATCACTGGGAGGTAGAGTTTGGAGACAAGAGAAGGCAGGTCCTGGGAGCATGCAAAGCACTAGCAAACAGAAATGGAAATATAACTCTGCAGAGAATGGCTACTGGGTGACAGTGATGACAAAGCAACAGGAATCCACTTTTCCCCAAACTGTGAATGAGGAACCCCCAAGCAGGTGGGCATCTTTCTAGACCACAAAGCTAGAAACATTCCCTTTTACAACATGACAGCCAGATCCCACATTTCCATGTGCACTGGCTTCTCTTCCTCCAGTTCCCTTCAACCCTGGGGCATGTGATGAAGGGAAGAACATGGCTCTTCTGATCCAGTCAGAGACAAGACTTCACAGAGTGGCCAACACTGTACTTCCATTATGGCCCCTGGTCTTATATCTTGCATTCATGCACTCAGCAGTCATAATGAGGTTATCAGCTGATATAAGAGATGTAATAAATAAGAAAATAACATTAGCCTGGGTGTGGTGGTACATGCCTATAATCATTCTGACTGTGGTTTAGCCTCCATAAAAAAAAAAAAAAAAGAAAGGAGAAAATAATACTAGTACCTGTAATAATTAGTATTCCTATTGCTGTAATAAAATTCTCTGACTTGGGGATCTAATTCATAGTTCACCAGTTTAGTACATCATAGAATCAGCCACAATGGAAGGAACTTGAGGCAGCTGGTCACATTTCATCCACCATCAAAAGCCAGAGAGTGACAAACTTTGAAAGCCCATCTTCCTCCTTTGTTATACAGTCAGCACTCAAATCCAGGGAAGGTTGTCACACACAGTATAGGGTGTGCCAGTGAGTGAGTCTAAATCTCATAGAGCTGACAACAGTAACCATTATAGTGCCTGAGAAGCATACCAAATGCTGGCAGGGGTACTCCAACACTGGTGATCAAAGGGGAAGATGGCACACACAGCAATGACAAGCAGTGGCGTTCAGAAGAGGAGATGCAGGGCTACTGCGTTATCCTGCATGAGTCAGTACTCTCAGACATTCTTCAAACAGAAGATTCCACCTCACTCTCCCTCTCAGGGAGAGGATATGTCCTGTCTTCCCTGGTCTTGAGGACATATAAAACCTACAGAAGATGCATATACACAGACTCCAAGAGGAGCACACACTCTATCTCTTTTGTGCTCACTCTTTTTTTTTCTTTTTGGTTTTGTGAGACAGGGCTTCTCTGTGTAGCCCCCTGGCTGTCCTGGAACTCACTTTGTAGACCAGGCTGATCTCAAATTCACGAAGATCTGCCTGCCTCTGCTGGGATTAAAGGTGTGCGCCCCCACTGTTCAGCTTACTTCTCACTCTTAAAGAAGCACCTCTCTGGGTTTTGGAGGTGATGCCTTAAAGGTACCACCATATTTAGCTCTCCAGATGATGGTTGTTTCTCCAATATTCTCCTCCCATCTGGAGACCCAATCTTGGCCTTGAGACCCTTATATTCTAATAAATCTCATACCTGAAGGGAATTATGTATCAGCTTTCTTTCAGGCAAACTGCTGCTATTCTTAACATTATAAAATACTGTTTTATAACTTGCCTTCTAATTTATTCTATTTATTGGTTTACTGTATTGTACTACATTAACATATAATGATTTGATGGTAGGCTGTACATATTTTACTGGGTAACAATATTACTTTTGTATCTGTGCATGAATGCATATGGTGTGTGCCTGACTGCATGATGGCTATAAGTGTGTGTGCAAATATGCATGTATATGGCATATGGAGAGCAGGCACCAACCTCAGATCATTCTTCAGATGCCATCCTTGTTTGAAACTAAGTAGAGTAGGATGGCTGTCCTGTCAGCCTCAGGGAATCCTCCCCAGCATTGTGATTATGTCTGACTTTTTTTTTTTTTAACAACAAACACACACACAGGTTTTCTATTGTTCACTCATTTAGGTTTTGTATAGTAAACTTTTATGTGTATGGAGATACCTTTCAAAAATTTTTGTTGCCAGTTTTCATACTCTATATTTTAAGCCATGGTGAACTGAGTCAGCTATTACTAGTGCTGACATGCTTAAAAAGAAAAAAGTTCAGCATCATACTGGAGGATGTCTTTTCATTCATGGAGGCATGGGCTATGACAGTCAACCCTACCTGATAGCGCTGTGTTTTTGCCTGCCAAGAACTGGCCTGCTCTATCCCAGTCATTGGAGTGCTCAGACTTAAGTATAATTTACAGACTCCCTGTGGTGACTAAAGAGATTTAATATAGAGCCAATCATCCCTTAAGGGCTCTTAACCTTTTGCTCTGGGATGCCAGGGAGGTCCTAGTTGCCTGCAGGTGAGATAAGATAGGATAATGGACTGTGAAGTATTAACAGCTGCCTTTGCTTCTGTAAATCCTGCTAATCTCTATGGGAAAGGGATAGAATAGGCTCTTTGTTACTATATAGTGGGAAAGAAAGAAACAACTGAGTAAAGTAAAATAATTTTCCTGCCCAGCTGCGGATTCCATGGGTAGTTGTAACGTATGCCTTTATGATGTCTGCCTTAAAACCCCACCTTAATCCCCCTTCCATATGTAACTCTCTTTGGCTCTAAGGTCCTTCTGCTAGCGGTAAGAATAAATTTGTTTAATCTAAATTTGAATTGAGCCTAAGTCTTTGGTGTCTCTCAGTGGATTCAAATGCCAGCCACAAAAGAGGAATAAGAGAATCTGTGTCCATAGATTGCGCTAATCCTCATCAGTACTTAACCAAGAATAAACTGAGTACGGAAAAAATGAAGAAAGAGCTAGCTTTGGTGGGTCACACTTACTTTCCTTGCACTCAGGAGGCTGAGGCAGGAGATCGCCTGGATCACAAAGGATCTCAAGTCTGAGAGGCCAAAAATGAATAGGGTAATAGGAACTCTTTTTCAAATATATAATGACAGTGTAGAGGTTAGTAAACTGGACTCTAAGTGCTGCCTAGCAATCAGGTTCCGCTGAGAGCCTCAAGGAAGGGCTGACACAGACACAGAACACACCCTGGGCGCATGCCCAGCGGGTCCTGAACCCTCAGGGATGCTGCAAAGGAAACCAAGGTCGACCATGTGTGGTGCAGAGCCTCTGCTCACCCACCGCCCTCCAGGCCACCAGGAGGTCTCCCGGTAACAGTTAGGAGGGAACTACACTTCCCAGCGAGCACTGGACACTAGTTTCTTGCCTCCCAAGTGAGCCACAGAGATTAGTTCCCATAGGCTCCCCTGGGCCCTAAGCGCTCCATCAGCCAGCCTTCAACCTCACCTTTTCAATCACGGAGTGTCCGCTTCCGGCGGGGAGACCTGGCTTCCACAAGGGAAGTGACTGACCGGAAGTGACCTCACAGAAGAAGAAACATCTGGCTTCACTGGGTTCCACTATCCCGTCAGTGAAAGGCAGCAAATTCCAAAAGGTTGCTGACAGTCTTTGAGGGAACTCCGAAATGGGAGGCTAGAGGTTGCCCTCTCGCGCCTGCCTTTCTCGGTCATTTCCAGCGCTGGGCACTGAGCGAGTCTGGATCGGTCCTATGCTGGTTTCCCAGCTATCAGACTGGAGCCCATGATCTCCCACTTGTTCAGGTCAGCAGTTTCTGTGGGTTTCTCCAGCCTGGTCTTGACACCTTTGCTTATTAATCCTCCCTGTCTGCAACTGGATTCCAAGAGTTTGGCTGTGTTTAGCTTCTGCTTCTGCTTCCATCAGCTACTGGATGAGGGCTCTAGGATGGCATATACAGTTGTCATCACTCTCATTATGGGGGAAGGGAATTTAAGGTAGCCTCTCCACTATTGCTTAGATTGTTAGTTAGGGTCATCCTTGTAGATCTCTGGACATTTCCAAATTTCTCTTAAAACCCACAAAGACTTCCTCTAATATGGTATCTCTTTTCTTGCTCTCCTCTATTCTTTCCCCAACTCAGTCTTCCTGCTCCTTCATGCCCACCTATTGATGTTTAATAAGGATCTGGATAAACAATTAGGCTGAACAGATGTTTATTCAGGGAGAAATAACTCACAACATAGACAGGTGAACACCAGCAGGTTCCTGCTCCCAAGGATGCCTCTGGAAGTCCCCTGTTCCTGAGCGGCTAGCAAGAGAGCTTTCTGGCTCCTCCTCAGACCTAGTTCCACAGGTCACTTCTGCCCCTGGCTCCACCCCCAAATGGGCGTGGTCGGTGCCACAGAAGGAGACAAAGTGAATATCCCACTACCCCCACCTCTCCCCTCCTCTTCCTCCTAACTCCCTCTCCCCTCCCCACATGCTCCCAATTTGCTTGGGAGATCTTGTCCCTTTCCCCTTCTCCAGGGGACCATGTATGTCTCTCTTAGGTCCCTCTTTGTTTCCTAGCTTTTCTGGCAGTGTGGATTGTAGACTGGTAATCCTTTGCTCTATGTCTAAAATCCATAAGTGAGTGAGTACATACCATGTTCCTCTTTTTGTGACTGGGTTACCTCACTCAGGATGGTTTCTTCTAATTCCATTCATTTGCCTGCAAATTTCAAGTTTTCATTGTTTTCTTCCAATAACTAGTACTCCATTGTGTAAATGTACCACATTTTCTTCATTCATTCTTCAGTTGAGGGGCAGTTAGGTTGCTTCCAGGTTCTGGCTATTACAAATAATGCTGCTATGAACATAGTTGAACAGATGTCTTTGTTACATGAATGTGCTTCTTTTGGGTAAGTGCCTAAGAGTGAAATTACTGGATCTTGAGGTAGACTGATTCCCATTTTTCTGAGGAACCACCATACTGATTTCCAAAATGGCTATACGAGTTTGCATTCCCACCAGCAGTGGAGGAGTGTTCCTCTTTCTCCACATCCTCTCCAGCAAAAACTGTCTTTGGTGTTTTGATTTTAGCCATTCTGACAGGAAGGAGTAAGATGGTATCTCAGAGTTGTTTTGAATTGCCGTTCCCTGATGTTGAGCACTTTCTTAAGTGTCTTTCAGCCATTTTAGATTCCTCTATTGAGAATTCTCTATTTAGTTCCGTACCCCCACTTTTTAATTGGATTATTTGGTGTTTTGGTAACTGGCTTCTTGAGTTCTTTGTATAGTTTGGAAATCAGCCCTCTGTCAGATGTGGATTAGTGAATCTCTTTTCCCATTCTGTGGGCTGCCATGTTGTCTTGTTGACTGTGTCATTTGCCTTACAGAAGCTTTTCTATTTCAGGAGGTTCCATTTATTAATTGTTGATCTCAGTGTCTGTGCTACTGATGTTATGTTCAGGAAATAGTCTCCTGCACCAATTTGTTCAAGG